AGAAAATGATATGAATTTTATTTTTTATTTAAAAATATAAAAAAGTGTTTTTTTTTATAAATAAATTGTCTATGTTATTTTATATTATTTTATTAAAAATATTTAAATAAATTTATAAGATAAATTATATTTTTAATAGATAATTTGTCTTATAAAATAATTTTTTGATAAAATAAAAATTATTAAATAATATGATGTAATTTAATATAATATAAATTATATTATATTTTTTATTTTATTAAATTTATTATTATTATTATTTTAATAATTTTAATTTTTTAGATATAAATTTTTAAATAAAAATTTAATAATTTATAATAATAATAATTTTAAGAATTATATAAAATTTTTATTAAGTATTTTTATTTAATAAAAGATAATTTAATTATCATCATTAATATATTAAATTTTTATTTAAATTTTATAATTAAAAAACAAAAAAAAAATAAATTAAAGCTATTAAAAGTAAACGGAAACAATATAACATGAGTTTATCAACAGTTAATTTGACCAAAAAAGAAAACACGATTTTGTAGCGGTTGACATGATTTTCACTTAGACCTTTAGAGTTATCAAAAGAATAGAACATGGTATTTTTTTGAGTAATATTAAATTAGAATTATCAAAAATTATATTAATATATAAACCTAGTATAGTTTGGGAAAATGCTAATATGGTGTATGTATAATTAAGATTCACTGACTGGATTATCTTCGTTGACAAGGTAGATGTAACCGTGACGTACACGGTACACGTAACCGTAACATACACGGTACACGCCGCAGAAACAGTCCAATAGAAATAGAAATTTCTAGAGCTTTCGTTACTTGAGATTCACGAAGTCTTCGCAGGGAACCTTAGCTGCAAACCTTACGAGAATTCTTTGTAAAGTTTCGAAGAAAACGATGAGAATTGTTGCTTGAGAAAGTTCATTCCAGTGAGATGTAAATTACAGTTTAAATATTTTAACTGTATCATACATTCAGTAATGGAAAGAAAACTCTCCTTGACGCTTGAAACAGTAAATAATTCCAACATGACAACCATAAATAAAGTTCAACATATATTAAGTCTGCAATTCAACACAATAAAACTTAAAATGAAAAGTTATATAGTATTATTAAACAATATAACAGTAAACAATATTTATTATTAAATAATATTATTACAATCATTAATTTTTCTTGTATTTTTAATAAAGTTATATAGTATGAGTATATTTACCAATTAAATCTATTAGAAAGTGAGTTTATTTACATATCATTTTAATTAAAAATATACAATTTCCTAGGACCTCACATGATTTTCAACTAGGCCTATCAAATTAATTTTATCTACATTTATAATTTTTACTTTTCTAGCAGGTAAGGGTAAAAAAATTTTATTCAAAAAAATACTGTAAGTAACATATTCCTTACTTTTTTACCACTAGTTGAAAACGTGGCCGAATTAGTTGGTTCAATTGGAATGGGTTTTGAAAACATGCTGGATTATGATACTAGCCCAATAGGAGACCAAGTTAAACCTTATCAAATTTGATTGATCTAGTTAACCTGAACTACTTCATTTTTTAACATTTTTACCATTTTTACCATTTTTCTTAAATTTTTTTATATATTTATTTTATAAATAATACAATAATTAAATTATAAAATCTATTTAAAGTTAAATTACTATTAATTAGTGAAATTGTTTAAATTAATTTCAAATTAATTTATCATTTTATATTAAAGAGTGGAATTAATTTAAAATCAAATCAATTTGACTTTGAAAATAAAATAAATGATTACTTTAGTGAATGAAATTAATTTGAAATTAAAAATAATCTCAAATAATTTTAAAAATAAAATGAATAAAAGGAAAAATAACCTATAATTAATATGATATTAATACTTTAGCTTACGCCAAGAAAAAAATGAAACTAATTTAAAATCAATAAATTTTAAAAATAAAGTCTTAAACATTCATAACTACTTTGATAAATAAATTTTAAAATGATTTCAATTAATTCTAAAAGTAAAGTCAATTAAACTAAAAATAATTTATAATTAATAAAATAAACTTAATAATATTTATTAAGCCAAGTGAGACAATTAAGTCCAACACAAGAGTATAACATTACCATAGTAAAATGAATTTAAAACCATGAGAAGTTTGTAGTGTTTCCCTGCTACTTTGCAAGGAACCTTAGCTGCAAACCTTGCGAGAAGTTTGTAGTGTTTCCAAGAAAACGATGAGATTTGTTGCTTGGGAAAGTTCATTCCAGTGAGATGTAAATCACATTTTAAATGTGTAAACTGTATCATAGATTCTGTACTGGAAAGAAAACTCTCCTTGGCGCTTGAAACAGTAAATCATTCCAACATAACAACCATAAATAAAGTTCAACACATTAAGTTTGCAATTCAACACAGTAAAACTTAAAATGAAAAACACAGAGTTTTAACGATAACCAGAACAGCACAGCACCTGGTTTCACTAGATAGAACATAATAACAACAACTTAATCCTATTGACTATTATTCCTTGTCCATCATATAGATCCCTACCTTTGTCCCGCATTTTTCCATTATATAGATCCCTGCCTTTGCTCATTCTGCCTGCTCAATATTGTGCTGCAAAATAGATAAAAGTAAAAAAAGAACATGTCAAACAGAATTTCCATTTTACTTTAGCACGGAAAAGCAGAAGGAACAAGATGAGGATTGAGGAACTAAACCAACCGAAGCAATTGAGCAAGCTGGGTGGCCTTAAGAAAATCCCCTTCTTCACGGGCCTTAAGGATTTTGAACATGAGACACAGATTAAGCTTGTTCGCAGCACTCTGCCTGATCATGAGGTCCGTGTCCTTCCTGAGTTGTGCACATTCAGCTTCAATGTCTTCAAGTTTTTCTCTCACTTGTTTTTGTCCTTGCTTGATGCTTTCTTGTTCCTTACCAATCTCTTGCATCTCTGCTTTCAGCCTTCGGAAGCCAGCCTTCAGATTTTTCATTGCAGACTTTCTCTGCCCAGACAATTGAACACAAAACAGTTAAAAGTTCCATTAAAGTTGTTTGTTTGTGAGTGTATGTGTTGTTTTACCTTGCAAAAATAACAATAATAACATCATAAACTATAATACAAACATTTAACGTTTGAAGTATAATAAAAACATTGCCACCCATATCTAGTGACTCAAATCTAGAACATTTACTTCATAAAAGAAGATTACTACTAGACTAGTTCATTGACCATAATAATAGTTGTTATTGAACAACAAAGAACAACTAAGCTCCCTCTTGAGATGAGAGCTTCCCTCTCTAAGAATGAGAGGATTTACCCCACCATGGGGCAACCACAGTGTTTTGTCACTGCCTTCACTCTTGCTTCCTCTCCCTTGTTTCCTCTCCTTTGTTAGCCTTTCATCCCAGATCGTTTCAAACCCCTGTACCCATAAATCCCCAAATCCAAACGCAAACAATAGTCCATATCAACTTTTCAAAAGGCATACAGAGCATCTAGAATTTGTATGGAGATAACTGCTCCTTAGTGAAAATGAGATGAGCCACTCATGATGGGCAAAGATCAAGCTTGCAAATCCATCTTGATCAAATAGACAAACTAAACTCAAGGGTTGATATAATTCTTCTCCTTCTTTTTTTTTTGGCCTATAACATATTCATTTTATGTAAAAAAACTTCGTTTTCAAGTTCAAGCTAGGTTTGAGATCAACTTGTTCATATTAAAATTTTTTATTAAAATTATAGCTTGATATTGAAATAGTCAAGTCTGAGTTCAACCTCAAACTTGAATTCGAATATCTTGTTTGACAAGTAAAACTTCAGTAAAGAAAATAGACTCAAACGAAGGTGCAGAGTGCAATTCCAGTCTAGCTCAAATTTCTAAGTTCAAGCTCAATTCTTGAACTCAATTCTCCAATTCCCGCCCTGAATGCTTCCAAAACTTTTAAATAAATTAAATAAATTCAGTTCACAAATAGTTAAAGGTATGCATTCAGTAAGGTAACAAAAACCCGTTTGGCTATGCAAAATGCAAATACATAAATTTCAATGCCGAGATTATTCTCCATATTAGAACTAATTTCATAAAAGTCGAATCCATTCATAATCAGATTAAGTGGTTAAACATCCAATCCTTTGAAATTCAGAGATTATGGTGTTTCAAGATCTATTACATCATTCATACC